TATATATATATATATATATATATATATATATATATATATATATACAGTATATATAGGAATCAATAAACTCAATAGGGACAACATTTGAGGATAAAATCAGAGGAGGAACTGCTGGGACCGACTTTCTGTTTGGAAAAAAACATCCCTTTGGTTTTATTGGCATTTAGGACAAGTTTGAGGTGGAACAAATCTGCTTGGATGATGTCAAAGGCAGATTGCAAAAGCTGGCAAGCCTTATCAACTGTTTTAGCTCGACAATAAACTGTGCCATCACCATAAAAATGTAAGGATTCATCAAAGTTGCTCTGACCTACATTACCTATGTAGATTGTAAAGAGGGTGGTCCCAAGACTGAGCCTTGTGGTACACCATTGTTGACTATTAAATAACTGGAGGAAGTACCATTATGTTGAACACATTGCCTCCGATCTGAAAGATAGTTAGTGAACCAACCAATGTTGTGATCTGAGAAACTGATTTCTGAGAGCTTATGACACAAAATGTTATGATCCACAGTGTCAAAAGCTTTAGACGGGTCTAAGAAAAGTGCGGAACAATAATAATAATTACACATCACTTTGTCCCATCATTTCAAAATGTATTATGTCTATGTGCTTTGCTTAGGTAGATCTTTTTGCTACCTTTCACTGTGCCCTGGGTCAAGGACATGGTGTGAGAGATCTTTGTTTCTTTTATACCTTCTCTCCTCACATGTTCTTCACCTCTTCTTATCAAAGAATTAGGGCAGCACTTCTTGGAAGCAGCAGCCCCGGTACACTTCCGTCTACCCCTTTAGACGGCTGTACGGAGCATATTTTCTCTTTACTTAACTCTGCAATGGCAATAAAGTGGATTTTGATTCTGAGATGAACAGCTCTTGTTGTAGATCAAGAATCAACCTCCAGATGGCGTCTTTAGAGACTTCCTTACTGTTTTCAAGTTCAAGGTCCTTTATTGTCATTCGCATCACATGTGGTACATGAGGTGGAACGAAATTGTTTACAGGGTTCCAGTTACATCAAACAATAGCAAAATATAAATTGTAAAAGAAACAATACTAAAGGATCCAAGATATAAACAAAGAAATACATTAAACACTTAATAGTACAAAACAGTGCTGAACAACAGCAGCACGAACATGAGTCTGTGTGAGCAGATGAGCATGAATGAGCATGAAATAAATCAGCAGCATGAGATTTCCTAAAGTTAAAACAAGAATATTTATGTAATCTCCAGCATGTTACTCTATTTCTTCATCTTTGGTGCATTTTGTCTAAATTCCCCTCTTAGCTCCTCTTCTCAAATGTTACATACCGGAATCTGTTCAGCAACTACATCAACCACGCACACTTTCTTCTGATGAAGTTTATTTATTCAGAGCACTTTCTGCCCAAACACAATAAGTCACCCTAACCAAACAGAACGCCTCACCACCCAGCATGGTGCCTGAACCGTTCCGAATTACCACGAACAGGACTTGGGGTGTGTGTAACTGGACAACGTGTGCATTTATTGTGTAAGCACATCCTCATTCATCCTTGTGTGTGTGTGCGCATGTAGGACTTTTGTCTACTGTTACGGCATATTTGTGTGCTCGTGTTTTACGTGTGTGTAAATGTCTGACAGGATTTCCATAACTCCACGGGTGGACAGCTGGCTGCTTCCAGCGCTAACTGCCTGTGTGAAGGCACTGTTTAGGTTAGAGACAGGCAGATGGGAAAGCTCTTACTGAGACTATTTATAGGCAGGAGAGCTTCCACAGCACAGTGATGAGAACTGGCTTTAATGAACAACCTTTTACTGGTCAATTGTCTTGTGCGCGTGGTTAAAAATCACAATATTATGTATGAACGGTCTCAACGGGCTGAATGTTGACGAATGATCGGTCAGTTGACTGGGTGTATCCATCGTTCAGTAATCTATTGCTGATATGGATTCACCTGAATTGGTACACATTTGGTTTGTGAACTGGTTGATAAAAAGACAGTTGATCCCTTTGAGTCAGCAGCTCTGCTCTCCAGCACCATCTGAACCTCACAGGCGACATATTTTACTGTTTTTTCAACACTACGTGCCCTGAATGTCCGTGGTGCAACGTCAACCATGAATTATATATTTTTATGGAAGGCTATTAAGGCTAGTAAACGAGAAGCATAACCATTTACTTGCAACATAAGTCAAGAAATATAAGTGCATGTGTGATGTTACAATGGTGTTTGTAAAAGTTGAATAAAAAAAAAAAATAGCTGATGATTGAACAATTTAGAAATAACTTTTTTGCTCCAATCTTTTCAATGTATCACTGTGATTCATTTTATGCAGCCCTGGAATAAGCATGTCCTGACATGATCTGCTGTTATTGTTGTTATTGTTGTTGTTGAACCCACGTTCAGGCAGAGGCAGGACGACTCCAGAGTAAAATAATTATTATTTTTAACAATGACAAAACAAAATCGCTGATGGGGCAGCGAAACTTTCAGGAGACGACAGGACGGCGCAGACACAGACCATGACACCGTGGAAGGGATAATGCCCAGGGGCGTGAAAACATGGAGACTAAATGAAGACATTAATGAGACGAGTGGGAACCCCTGCAGTGATTAGGATTCAGGTCAGGTGCGCATAGAAGCAGAGACGAGAAACGCAGGGAAAGGTGCAGAAAGACACAAGACATCATGCATTTAAATATTTTTATTACGGTAGTTGGATTTTTTTACAGACCAATTGATCACTTTTTGTTGGCAGTTCTCCAATAAATTAGTTATTTACCAAAATTACCAGACATAACAATAAGGGGCAAATTTACCGATTGTGAAACTTTAACACTTATCAGGAAAAAAAACATCTAAAGGTAAAAGTGCTTTTACTAAAACCTTTATCTTACTGAACTTTGACTGTTGGTGACATTTGTGAGGGAGTTTCCAAAATATTTTGAAACTTTTATAAGTTTTCTCAGTTTACTAACGTGACTATCAAGGCAGCGGCACGGTGGTGCAGTTTGTAGAGGTGTTGCCTCTCAGTGAGAAGGTTGCCAGTTCAAATCCCAACCGGGGGCTTTCTGGGTGGAGTTTGCATGTTCTACATGTTCATAGACCAAAAACATGCATTTTAGTCTGAACTAAATTGTCCCTATAAGTGTTAGTGAGAGAGTGAATGGTTGTTTGTGTCATTTGTCTCTATGTGTCGCTGGGATGGACTGGAGACATGTCCACGCACAATGAGTGCTGGAAGTGGGCACCAGTGGCACCAGTGACCACCACAATCCATAAAGGAAGAAGGGGGTAAAGATGATGGATGGAGATACTCAAAGGGCCTTGCTTTCATGTTGTTGGAATTTTGAACATTTTTAAAAATTCAAAGGAAAAATATTTTAAAACAGTCACAACCAGGGCTTAATTTGAGCTGGATCCTGCCAGAACAGGATCCAGGAACTCTCTTATTTTGACAGGGTGCGTTTTGGCCGGTAACTCTCAGGCTTACTAAAAATAAAGTTGTGAACAAATATGACTCCCTTGAACTTATACTGGATACACTAATTACATACACACTCATTTTAAACACAACAGACGACACAACACGGCTTCTCAATCTCACATACAATCATCTGCCCCTTCAAGTGAAAAAATAAATAAATTTGTATGCCTCTTTTATGATCGTCTATTGTTGTCATCAGTCTTTGTTAAAGAAATCAGGTATCTCTTGTAAATGAGTCCCCGAGGCTCAATGGGATTAACCTGTATAAATAAAGGTTGAATGAATGAAAGTGAAGCATTTCCACCTCTTTAAAATAAGAGTGATGGGGGTGAGTGCCTGGAGGTTTCACACGTGGAGTGGGACAGTGAATTCAGTGGAGAAGAGTCAGCTCAGAACTGTCAATTAAGGGGGGTGGGATGCAAATGTTTACGAATGTAGGTAAACGTAGATGTTTAACAACCCATTAAAATAAACCAAAATGCAGAAAATCGCATCTACTTTATTCAAAATTTTCTGGGGGAGGACTCCCAGACCCCCAACCCTCCACTGACCCGCAGGTTAGTTGCATTGAAACATTGATGGGTTTAAAATTAAACCCTGGTCACAACATCATTACAGGGGTCTGGTAGTACTGTGTTGTTTATACATAGACTCTTCATTTTTTATTATTAATTTAAACCTAATATACAAAATGTCTTACAATGAAATAAAAATCGAAAATTTTATTATTGCAAGTATTTTGGAAACCACTAATGTATCATCACACACTGTCTTGTGTAATGTTTTATTACATTGTGAGTTGTGATCAGACTGTGCTTGTGTTTGTGCTTAAGGTTGATAAACCAAACCTTTGTTTTCTGCACGTCAAAGTGAATTTGATTCAGGTAAACCATCGACCTTCAATGCTTTACTGCAACAAGAAAAACTCCTCTGACTGCTGCCTTTCTCAGAAATACCATTTGGAACAAATCCTGCTGCAAAGACAAACATATTCTACAGAAGCGTTTAGAGCAAAATGTGTATTTTTTTTTTATCTCTGCAATAATTTCCACTAACGGCACAATGTTTCCTCTGCCAGCTGTGATGCTCGGAGAAACAAACCAACCTGGACCTCAGTGAATGAAACGAGGACTCTGGTGGTTGATAATCAAAACAGTCGAGGCAGATTCTTTTTCAAAGTTACAACTTTTGTTTTTGTTCATGTTTTATAGGTTGGTGTTTTTTCTCTCGTATGTTTTAAACTGTCTTCGATTTTCTGTTTTCTCTTTTCGCGCATAAATTAACGAGAAGATGGACGTTTTATTTCCTTCTCAGTTAGTTTTGCCCTGTTTTGTTTTTTCCTGAAATGTATTGCTCAGAAAGAAACTGAACTAATTTTCAAATGTGCTTCTTTGTCTCTGCAGCCGTTATAAAACAAACCTAAAATCTCAACTGTGAATCTGCCCAAATTGCTCATGTGTCTTCTTTGTTTTCTCATAGCTCAGCTGTTTGTCAGCTGTGTTTTTAATTTTACCCTTGAGGCACTTTTTTACAGGTCAAAATGTAAATGTTCCTAAAATAGTGCTTTTTTTATTTGGAGTTCTAGATAATGCACATGAAAATGCAATGGATGTTAAAAGACCACTCTTTAAATAAATTAAAAAAAACATTTAATTTCAGGTTTAAGTCAGGTTTAATTAAAGGCTTTTGAGATTCACTCATTTGATCGTATAAAAAAAAAAGTATAATAAGTACGACTTTTTTCTAATCTGAAAATAATTGTTTTAGTAGTTGCTTAGCATTATTTAACTCACTCCTGTTTTTGATGAAGTAGAAGTATGCTTTTTTATTTAAATTTAAAATATATGTTTTTCAATTCAACCTTTATTTATACAGGTTAGTCTCTCTGAGCCTCAAGGATGCATTAACAAGAGACCTGATTTTAATAAAGAACACATGACAACAGTAGACAATCATAAAAAAGCTTTTAAAATGAAAAGTAAATGGAAGAAATTATATAAAAAAAATATATAAAAAAACAGCCACGTTATAAAGCAAAGTAAAATACTAAAAACAGGAACATGTCTGCGTTGGTTCTTGCCATGAACTTAGCAGATGTTTAAAGTCCCTTAGAGATAATAATTAGTATGCAGTTGATATAAAAAATATATTTGTTCAAAGACACACTTATATTTATGTGTTTTAGAACAAATCAATGAATGACAGTTCAGACAATGTTCAATAAAAAGAAAGTTCACACGGTTTGTTTTGTCTTGAATTGAAAAATTTCTGAATTTTTATTTTTTTCGTCATCTCTATTTAAACTTGCATCAACATAACAATAATAGCAATATAAAAAAAACACTAAATTTGTTTCTTGATTCATGCTTAATAATCCAGGTAGAAAAATCTAACAAAGTTTAGTCAGGTCTGGATGGATTAAAAATAATAAATAAATAAATAAATAAATAAATAACCATATTTGTTTATTACAAGAACAAAGAGGCTTTTATTTGATTTGGGCCATTCACTGTTAAATCTGGTTATTCATGAAACTGATCTTACTTGTTTTAATTTTAGCGTCAGGCAGGAAGGATTAATTCAACTTTTCAAATCAGCATTTATAACATTTCAAAAAACACCTGTATATTTTAATTTTACCGACTTTTGAGTGATTTATATTTTCTGATCATCCTGTTAGGAAAATCAAGACCAACTACTTTATTGTGTCCTTGGCGTTTGCTGACTTGATGGTGTCGGTGCTGGTGATGCCGTTCGGTGCCATCGAGTTGGTCGACCAGAACTGGATCTACGGTGAGACGTTCTGTCTGGTTCGGACGTCGCTGGACGTTCTCCTGACCACCGCTTCCATACTGCACCTGTGCTGCATCGCTCTGGACCGGTGAGACCGTGTGCACACTACATTAGACCCTTCCTTTAAATATATATATTTAATTTTCCCAACACTTTATATATTTTTGACGTGAACGTTGCACTCAGCCAAACCGTTTTATTGGATTGAAAAGTTCCATCAATCTAGTTTTTACTGCTCAACAATGGTCCGGTTGCAGTAGAAATGGTCAGAGCACCACATGCTTTAGATTTTTTTTGGAGAACACTGATGTGTTCCAGAGTGGTGTAATTTCTTCAGCACGTCTTGGGTCTGCCTTATTGCTTCCCCCGAGTGGGACATATCTGAAGCATCTCTCCGGAAGGTTTCTAGAAGGAATCCTGACTTCAACGAAGTCCATGCTCAATAATCCAGGTATAAAATCCAACATTTTTTCAGTCAGGTCATCTGGACAGTTTCTTTTTTTTTTTTTGCTGAAACGTTTCGCCTTCGATCCAGAAGGCTTCATCAGTCAATGAAACACACAAAAAAACTGATTCTTCCCCCAACAACTTACTCCAAAGTGGAACAAACCAGTTCTGCTTGTGATAAGATGGTCTCTTTGGTACGCCCCTCCTCCATTGCCGGCCCTCTTCCTTGTTGACAGTCTTGTTAAACTGGTTGAAAACAACAAAGTCCATGCTCAATAATCCAGGTATAAAATCCACCATTTTTCAGTCAGGTCATCTGGACAGTTTCTTTTTTTTTGCTGAAACGTTTCGCCTCCTGACTTCATTTCCAAACTACCTTATCTGACATCTACACCAAATAATGTCGTCTTTGGCAGAAACACGAGTGAGTGACTTGAATACGGAAGAGAGAAAAGGTGAAATGTAACTAAATTATCGAATTTACGCATCAGAACATGTTATGATTTTTTTTTCTTTAAACATGAGAAAGATCGTAGAGCAGTCACGCAGATGATGATAAACTACTGGATTAATTAGTTTTAATGCTTTTACTATGGTGATGACATTTATTGTAACTACTAAAAAAAGCATAGCTTCGAGCCAATCCAAGGTGTATTTTAATAAAAGTTATGGTGTGAACGCTTCTCTTGTGATCCATTTTTCTTCCGTATGTTTTTCAGCGCGATTCTCGTCCAACAGTTTTCAAGCTATTTCAACAAATCATCAAAACTTTCAGCTGTTTCAGGACAATCCTGCTATGACTTCTGGTATTATTGCAACTAGCTTTTGGAAATATTTAGATTTGTCTGCACCTTTTTTTTTTTTTTATCATAGAAAATGAATTGAGCTCATTTTACATCCTTCAAATTAGGGATGCACGATATTATCGACACTGTATCGGTATCGGCCAATATTAGTGTTAAAGTTCAATATCGGACATTCCATCAAAAATAACTCACCGATATAAAAGACGCTGTTTTTGTATGACAACCCAGTGACACGGATGCCTGCAGCGCCAGCACATTGTGATGATGTCACTTGCGTCTACCTGATGTCATGGCGGAAAGGAAAATTCAAAATGTCGGCGGTGTGGAAGGTTTTCTTTTGTTGGTGAGGATGTCGGATTCTGAAGATTTTTGGACTACGCTGATTCTCGCTACATCGTTGCCAGTCTGAGATATTTTCCCGACGTAGCCTTACTCGAGTTACAAACTGTCATTTCCGACATCATTGAGAAGCTAATAGCCGAAAGCACTTGGGTGAGTTTTACCACAGACATTTGCACGTCAAGTGTTAGCCCCATTAGCATGATTAGTGTTACGGCACAATGGATAGACTAAAACTTAGAACTTAAAAAGTCTGTCCTTCATGCACAGGAGTGCAGAGGATCCCACACTGCAGCTATAGGAACCTGGAACAAACCTCCACAGTGAGACAGCATCACAGGTGACTAATGCTAATAAATAACATTTAACGCTTTTCATTTAATATAAGTTAAAGTGCTATGGATATCATATGGCTGGTACTGAATATATGTCACCAGCTCTTACAGCTGTTACACATTTTTTGTAGCAAATAAGTCTAAATAAGAGGGTTATGTTCTGACAAAGGAAATTATATAAAATATTGGTATCGGTTATCGGCCAAATAAGTTTTAACATATCGGCATATTGGATATCGGCCAAAAATCAAATATCGTGCATCCCTACTTCAGATCTTTAGCTTTGTTTACAATCTTTTACTGCTCCTTTCACCTTTTGTTCTGGTGCAGCTTTTTTCAGCTTCTTTGTGCAGATGTAAACTTTTTTCAGCTACTTTCAGCTAATTTCAGCAGAGTTTTGTTCAGCTGTTTTGTGCTCTTTTCAGATTCTTTCTGCTAACTGCAACGTGTTTGTGCTTCTTCTAACTTCTTTCTGATCATTTCAGCTTGTTATGCTCCTTTCAGATTATTTCTGCAAGTTTCATCTTTTTCTGCAATTTCAGCTACTATTTAGCTGTTTTTATGCTAATTTGAGCCTTTTCAGCTAATTCCGCTTTTTTTCCTCCACTCATTTCAATTTTGTTTAGCCTAATTCAGCAAAAATGTGTTCTCTCCAACTCCTTCTTGTAATGTAGGCTTCTTTCTGCCTTTTTACCTATTTTCAGCTGTTTTTTGTTTGTTTGTTTTTTTTACTAATTTCAGCTTTTTCTGACAATTTCTACTTTTTTTAGCTGCTTCCTTCAGCCCAATTTGGAACACTTGTGTTCTTTCTGCTTTCTTCTGCTAACTTAGGCTTGTTCTTCCATTTCAGCTACATTTCAGCATGTTTTTAAGCTAATTTCAGCTGTTTTCCAGCAAGTTCTGCAATACGCATTCACACTGCATTTTCACAGGGAATGCACTTTCTCTAGTTATATTTATCTCCCACTTGCCTCTGATAAGAGTGTGCAGCAGAGAAACGTGCAGCTCAAGCTAAAATTCTGTTTCTTTTAAGTGCTGCGAGATGAGTGACTCGCGTACCTGAAGCTTGTAGCAATAACAGCAAAAATCAGCAAATGTCAGAATAATTGCATCATAATTTTCTCCTTTATATTTACATTAAAGAAACTTTGCACATGTTTTAAGCTTTCTGGTGTGTTTTCTTCAGACATATGTTTGTTGCTTTGATTCAGGTGTTTCATCAAACCCAAAGTTTTATGAACATTGATCATCAATTGATTGGGATTTATTTTATAAATTACTTTAAATTGAGCTTATTAATCAAAGTGCTGCGTTTTAATGTATATCTGACCATGTTCCTTTAACTTTTTCTAAAAGTTGACATGTTTGTGAGACAGAATGATTTAAACCAAGAGAACACATTTCCTCGAAGGAACTCTGCAACCTCGAATTAGCGCTTGAGGAGAAATTGCAATCAATCAGTTAATCAGCATAGCAAAATTATTCCACTCAAATTTTACCTTTAATTTATTTAAATATTTATCAGTTGTGCTCTTAGTTTTTGTTGAGTTTTAGGACAATCAACCTTGTAAAATGAGGACCCTGGTTTCGATTTGATTCAATTTTCCAATCTCGCAGAAATAATTTTGAATAAATCAAGTAACACAAAATAAGAAAAAGAAACGCTGAAATGTATTATTTTAACCTTTGAATGTGTGAACAAGCTTGATTTATAATTTGAAAACATTCATGTTTACATTGCCCACCTAATATTGATGTTGAATACCAAATTTGCAGAATTTGACTTCAGCAGTTCAGTCAAATGTCAACTTTGTAAATATATGGATTTAAATCTCCCCAGATGTGTATTATTAAACAGGTTAATCTTATATTTCTGAAACCTAAAGTTTGGTTTTGTTTTAACCTCATGTCTGCAGGTAGATTAGGATTAATGTAACAGGTATTTAATTTATTCAACTGGGCTTCGTCTCATACAACACAAGGACGACCCGGGATCTATTTAAACAAAGAAAGGTTGCAAACCTCAGCAGCAATAAAGAAAATGGTCTTTTCATTAAATAGCCTAGCTGGAGGAACTTAGTTCTGTTTTATATGCAGCCGCCTTTATTTTCTGGCACAGCAGCGCTTGTGTTATCACTGAGCAATCATCCCAGCGTCTGTTGTAAATTGTCTCAGATCGCTTACAGCAGACTTGTTTTTCTTTCCATAATTGCCTGACTGTTTAGTTTTTTTTTTTTGTTGTTGTTCTAGCTGCATCCAGCATTTGGTGTGCAAATATTAGAGCATTTTTCAGTTGGTTATACATGAGGAAAGTGTACTACAGTTCAACGTTTCACAGATCTTACTACTGTTGTTCTGCATTTTATTTTGAAAGGCAATGATTAATTTTCAGTTGAGTACTACAATGTAAAGGCCAAATTTATAGTCTTAGAGATGTCGAAGACCTTTCATGACATTAAAAAACAGCAGTGGGCAAAAAGCATCAGCGCTAGTGCTTATGTATAATACATTATGCAACTCTTAGTAGAATATCAAAGTTCCTGCTCAATAATCCAGGTTAAAAATCCAACTAAGTTAAGTCAGGTCCTCTGGATGGTTTATCTTTTTGTTGAAATGTTTCGGCCTTCATCCAAAGAACTTCATCAGTTCGAAGAGCCACAAACAAACTCAGTCCCATAAGTGGCTTACTTACATAGTGGGCTAATCAGTTGTATATGGTGATGAGGTGTTTTCTGGGGCCCACCCTCTCCCCCGTCAACTCCTCTGAGGCAGCCGTAGCCAAAGTGGTTCAAAACATGGTGGTTTGAAATGTTTCAACCAAAAAAAAAGAAACCGTCCTGAGGACCTGACTTAATTTTGTTGGATATTTTACCTGGATTACTGAGCATGAACTTTGAAGTTTTGAACTACGGCTGCCTCAGAGGAGTCGATGGGGGGGTTGAACTTCAGAAAACCATCTTATCACCATGAAACTAAATGACCCTCTATGTGAGTGTGCTACTTATAGGGCTGAGTTTGTTGTGGCTCCTCTGACTGATGAAGTCCCTTGGATTAACGTTTCAACAAAAAAAATAAACTGTCCAGAGGACCTGACTTAACTTTGTTGGGTTTTATTAGAATAACATTAGTTTGTTATGTCTCTTTTTATGAGCTTTTTGGTT